CGTGCTGAAACTAAGTGTTCACTCCTCTCGTAGATCTTCGGGCCGGTCGTCGTAGGCGTAGGCCATCCATCGCTTCGGGGTCTTCTCGCAGCCGCCATTGCCTTTCTCGTTGCCTGGTACTATTTCAATGTACGTACTCGATGCCCTCGGCATGCCACTGTCGCTTAGCAAACGCTTCTTGGGCCGACTGTTGCCGCCACCTTTTGCGTATAAATGGTGTTTTAGTGGGATTTATACCTGATTTCCGTCGCACATATCCCGGTATAGCGATTACAGCTTTCTTAGAGACCGCGCACACAAATATCTACAACCAAAACAAAATGAAACAAAATCACGACCAGAAAAACAGAGCTCAAAGTGCTATACTTGATACCCCCGAGCCTAATCGAGAGAAGGAAATGAAACAAGGGCGGCTTACCCGGAAGTGAGGACAGATCCAATAAAGCTGGGCCGGCCACTCCACTTCAGTGTTGGCACGTCTCTCGAAGAACAACCGGTCATTGGCGATGGGGAACAAGTAACGCACAGCGATCACAGAACGCGTCCCGTTTCCTAAAAGAATTGAGAGCGAGTATACGTTGCTTCTGACGAAAGAGCGTGTACTAATCTTAATCATTCGCCGGATACGATGGGCGGTGCCTGCCATTGTTTTTGAGCAGCTTTTGCCAATGTTCCTTCCCTCATTTTACGGACGTACTCACTTTAACGGTGCAGCGCAACCGTGACCGAAGCGTGGCTTGTGACGTCTTCATCGGCGCTGTAAGTGGCCCTCGTTTTTCCTGCTTGGCTGCCCGTGTTTTCACACGAAAGCGATCGCCTTGTCCAGGATATAGCGCCTCTCTTTAGAAGTCAACACTTTTCCGATACAGTTCCACTGTGCGTAAAGCGGGAAGCTTAGCAAAGAGAACGGAACAACTTGGTGAAATGAAGCGCAATAAACGGAACGAAGAAGGCGAGACGGACAAGACGAAACGCTATTGGCAACTGTGAACGTTTATTCAAAAACGTCACGGCGGCTAGACAGCATACGCATGAACTCAAGATGTTTGATGATCAGCTAAAAACAAACGACTGCAAACAGTGTCAGGTGGGATATACACCGTGAAAACACTGGCATGCGGACAACGATCGCGCTAGAATGTACGATTGATAAGTGGAACGTGGATACGCAGTTGACTGCGTAAAAGCGGGAAAGAAGATGAACCAGATAAAATGTTTAAGCTAAAAAAGAAACACAAACGCCACTAAAGAGAGATGCATAAGCCAACAGAAAAAACGCTTAAATGCGGTTATTTATAAAACATATTTGCTAGTTTGAATGAGCTACTGAAGTGACACTCACGCACAAGGGCTGTCCACGGCCTAATGTGACCAAACATGAATCACCAACTGGCACTAACTTATACTTTACTGAAGATCTAGACGACATGTTATTATGACAATATCGCGCCAAAGACACAGACAAAAGAGACGAGAGTGTAAGGCTGTCATGACGTTCTGCATACGAAAACGAGCCACTTCAAACACTCGCGCTTTGCATGTTTTGCACTATATGTGGATAAATTCAAAGGCTGCCTCACTGAAAGGAAGATAGGGCGAGTTCACGTATTTATAGTATTTTGAAGTGAAATATGCCTCGCACATCTCGCGTGTTCTTTTAGAGGTATAGTGTGGGAAGTTTGATTAAAAAATATGCCAAGTTCAATTGGAGACGCGCCTGATTAAAATGTGTCCTCATCTACATCTCGTGCGATGTTTAGATAAGTGGCTTGGTGACTGATGTATCTTTCCCACATATCTAGATTCTCTTCATTCTTTATCTTTATGTAATGTTCGCCCGGTCGCATGCAGCAGGTTCTTCACGGAAAGAGAATTTCGCACAGTACACCCTCATTACGTTCCCCCCCCCCCCCCCCCCCTATCTTCTGGGATCTTTGACAGTGCGCTGTATTGTTGACAATGTTTCTAGGAGATTACTAGTTGACCTACACAGGCCTGTAAGCTTCAATGAGGCTGAAAAGAAACAATGCTTACCTAATGCTTTTGCCCTATATGTTTGAGAACACTCGAAATTTCGCGCATGTTCCAAAATTGTGCATGTATGAAACTACGATCAGGCTCCTTGCATGTTCATATTATTTAGGTAAATTTTCACCATTAGGCAAATTCTTTGTAGATTTTTCTTTAAGAGAGGCAGTAAAAAAAAAGCCGAGTATCTACCACTTCTAAGCTTCATCCCTTGTTGCCGAATACTACCACCAGGCACACAGTCAGTGGTAGACCTCTTGTGACTGCGAGGAAGCAGTGACACTTTACGAGTTTTACGCGAACCGAGTCGTACAGAAGTAGCAATTTTTTGTTACTGGTTTTATTATTGTAATGCCCACAAACAGTTATGCCTTGAGAAACGCTTTGAAAAAAAAATGTTGTTTGCTTATACTCTTCTTATACAGTTAATTAAAAATGAATAAAATTCACTGGAGGCATGCCATATCTCGTTTTTTTCTTACAAAGAAATAGTTACCTTGAATAAATATGTACTCATCATAATATTTCCAGTTTGTGATAAGTGATTTCTATTCTTGGGTATCACGGGGATTCCCAAGCAAGCATAAGATGCGTGGAAAGTTAACGGTAAATCTAAAAGAAAGACTCGGCTGATCCCATGTACCATGCGAATCGATGTTTTGCGAAGCATGTGGAGGCAGGGTGACTGTAGTGTTACATTATCGAGCGAGAAGTTACGCAATGACGCTAACGATACGTACAAATGTTGTGCGCACAGGCATATGTTGAATAGTTGCATAAAGTTTTTATAGGCGCTTGTTTAGAGATGCGTAACGATGCCAGCCGCAACTTGGGTATTTCCAAAACCAGAAGCGGTAAGCTGACCAGTAGTGCTTGAGCTTGCGGGAATGGTAGTCCTGGACACCGCTACCTACAAAGTTTAGTGGATTGCACTAATGCTCTCACATTTCAATTACCAACACGTGCTCTCTCCGTTCTTTGGTAGATATAAACTGTCCATCCCCTGTAGCGCATTCCCGCATACTGCGCCGTCTTACTCTCCCATGCTAGTTTGGGTCAACGCTCAGTTAAGCAGGTGATCACGAGAGCAGCCTTACGCAGGACATAATACATACATACATACATACATACATACATACATACATACATACATACATACATACGTACATACATACATACACACGTACGTACATACATACGTACATACATACGTACATACATACATACATACGTACGTACGTACGTACGTACGTACATACATACATACATACATACATACATACATACATACATACATACATACATACATACATACATACATACATACATACATACATACATACATACATACATACATACATACATACATACATACATACATACATACATACACACACACATACATACATACATACATACATACATTACATACATACGGTGGTCTAGTGGCTAAGGTACTCGGCTGCGGGTCAGTAGCCGAGTACCTTAGCCACTAGATCACCGCGGCGGGGACAGACAGATAGATAGATAGATAGATACATAGATAGATAGATAGATAGATAGATAGATAGATAGATAGATAGATAGATGGATAGATAGATAGATAGAAATGCTCAAGTGCCCATAGTGCATTAAAAATGCATCGCATTCAAAATTGCGAGCTGTTCATGACTTTCAGATCCTGAGCTTAAGCCACCCCGCCGCGGTGGTATAGTGGCTAAGGTACTCGGCTGCTGACCCGCAGGTCGCGGGTTCGAATCCCGGCTGCGGCGGCTGCATTTCCGATGGAGGCGGAAACGTAGGCCCGCGTGCTGAGATTTGGGTGCAAGTTAAAGAACCCCAGGTGGTCCAAATCTCCGGAGCCCTCCACTATGGCGTCTCTCATAATCATATGGTAGTTTTGGGACGTTAAACGCCACAAATCAATCAAGTTTTCATGCGTCATTTGTGTATGAGCAGCGCGCCGCACGCTTCTAAATCAATCAAGTTTTCATGCGTCATTTGTGTATGAGCAGCGCGCCGCACGCTTCTATCTGCTTGCCGTTCTCAGTGGTACATTCCAAGTTGTTGCTATCACATTGATTGCTTCACCCTTGCGGCAAAACTGTGATTTTCCTGCTTTATCCTCCGTGGTCCAGACATGTAGCAAACAAGTCAAGAAATCATCCACGCAACGGAAGCATTTTTAAGCTCCTAAATTTTTCATTTCTTCTAACGAAATGTTGTGCCACATAATAAAAAATGAAAAAGAAAAAGAAAAACGCTCCGCACTGTACGCAAGTTCACATGTCCATCAGACCGCATACAAAATCGAAGGTTCAATCAAGCCAATTAAACTAAGATACGGAAACACTGAAGTGACAACCATCGCTGAAACAACTCACACCATCCATCAACGAAAGAGAACCCCAGAATTTCTTTGAAAATGCCGTAAAAGCCAGACACGCATAACATAATAAATGTGCCCAGTAGCTTCATATACTCAAAGAATAGCTACTTGCTACACATAAATATGCGAGATTAGACTACCCATTTCGGCTGTTACTTCATAGTAAATTCGGATTTTATTTCTACTTTCAATGTCCGGCACTAATCAGCTCCATCCCATCAGGTCCGGTTTCAGGGCTGATTGCATGGTTTCGGCTTTGTACGATGGAGCTATTCGAAGAAGTAGACTCAAAATAGAAGATATCTCAAGCTCAGAAGATCCGCGCATCGTCTCGGGAGTGAACGTGTGGGCGTTCAGTCAAAGCACGCTGAAAAGGAGTGACCAGTACATGTAACCAGGGGGAGCGATGGCTCTGCATCGAATGCTCGGGGCATCTCGCGGCCGCTGACCCAATATTCTAGCTCGGCACCTTGCTCCCAGATGGCGGGACAAGCTCCAGATTGGCTACCTGAGACCGGCTCGGGACGGCTCTCGTCTTGGCCGCCTTTGAGAGCGCGTTGCCTTGCAGACGACAGCCGTTCGGCGCCAAGTGCGGTGCGTCTTGTGTGCAGTTCGGCCCGGTGCTTTTTTTGCTCTTGATTGGTGGCGGTGTAGTCGGTGGGTGCGCTCCTGTCACCTTGGCACCGAGAAGAGGCGCCTGTGGTGCTGAGGCGAGGATGCGGCCTCTCGTTCGGATTTGGATACTTTGCGTCTCAGGTGAGACACCGTTGTGGACTTAGTCGCGCGGCTGGCTACGAGAAGCACGGACGTTCTTATTGTTTAAAATGGCACTTGCCTTGACTAGTTGGTTGCGCATCGTGAGGAATGCGCCCAGACAAAACGTACACCTTTTCTTCTCGTAAATCTGAGGAGAAAAATAACAACAAAAACTACCATGATAGCTAAGCGGTCTGACGTGTAGCGCTTTCAGCTATACAGCGCGTGGTTTCGACTCCCCATCACCGTGGCCAAAATTCGACGGGGACAAAGTGCCGTAACACTCATGTATTTAAATTTAAGTTCACGTTAAAGAACCCAAGCAAATCAAAATGAATCTTCAGTCCACCAACATGGCATGCCTAGTAATAATATCCGAGTGTTGGCACGTCGAAACCCAGCATTATTATTACATTAGCGCGATAGAAACCATTCGTATTTGGCAAATGCTTAAAAATATTATAGCAATGTGGAGAACAACACGCAAACGGGCCCAGCCAATCGTAACGGTAGCATTGATTAGATGACGAAAGATTAATAATTTACCCGCACCACGCACATCAGTCTCTCAGAATAGCAGCGATAAAATCTTGTATGCTTGAAGACAGGCTTGTTGAAAGTGTAAAGAAATGAGGGGCAAACTATTTCGAGTGCAGAACAGTTGCATACTCGAAGTTATTTTAGCCCTCGTGACGGGGCACATCTACAAATAATTTTGAAGCAATGACGTCATTATGGGTCATTAGAGGCGGGAAGCGGACGCAAGCATCAAAGTTTTTGAAAAATAGTTTTAAGGAGATTGATCAAATTGTTGGTCTTGTTAGGTCTTCTGGTCTTCGGTACAAAACAAATGATGATTGCGTGATTGCAAGGCTGTTCCTTGCGGTGAGCTTACTGAATAAATGACGCGTCACTTATTTTGACTACGCAAGAGCACAGAATTAATGTTGAAGAAACAAAAGGCTCTAACTTGAGCAGATTAAAAGTTGAGAAAATTATCGGTGCTCCCCAAACAGACAAGAAACGCGAAACACGCTTAACCCTAATATCTCAGATTAATGTATCGATGCTTGGATTTATACACGAAGTTAAAGAAAAATTAAAGGTGATGCGAACACTCAGGTCATGCTCTCGTTTTGAATATTAAGCTTTTTTGTAACAAATGAACGTAAAACAATATTTATTACCCCAATGCGTGCATATAGTTGATTCATTTATTTCTCTTTATCACTTGTTTATGGAGCATCTAAACACTTTCCTGACTGCACATACACCTTGCATGCGGTAGTCGATCTGAATGAACAGAGTGACATATGGAATGACGCAGTTGCTTATATAGCACACGTACATACGAAGTTACTCGCTAACAAGCTAGAAAGATATATCCGGAACAAGGACGAGCATTAAAACCTACACATCAATCAAAACAGTGGACGAGCGAATTTATTCTTTTGACGGTTTGTCGAATCCCGTTGCTGTTGCTTTCTTTATTTCATTTTCTATATGTTTACTTTTATTTACTCAGATGCGGCAGTCAACCATGGCGTGATTCACAAAAATAGCTCCACGAAATAACTCTTCAATGGAGGAAATTCTAGCCAGTTTTTTTTTTTGCTAGGACCTCGTGATTCTGATGTTATTCGCGAAGACTCTTTGTAAATATCAAAACGTGTTTATGAGCGCAAAAATGTACCATATTCGACCCCTGGTTACTAGCCGTGACTACCTTCGCCTAAAAAAGATGTTTTGCGTCTTTCTTCTCAGCTAAGTATGTTTGGCCAAAGGGTATGCTCTAGTTAATAATTTTATATGGGTAAAAAACGCGTGATATACTTAACATACCCAGTGGATTTTTTTTCTTTAAAGACGTCGCATATTTATATACAATAAATTAGATTTGCTGAGCAACCTCTCTTTTCCACTGGTTTCGCAACAAGTCGAATTTACAAATATGAACCAACTAGTCTGCAAAGACGTATGGCTACACACAGTACTCCTTTAAGAGTTTTTACAATCTCAGATATGTTCATACTAGTATTGCCTGTTTTTCAAACGCATTTTTCGGCGTTTGTACGATGATTTACAGGAATCTGAAAGAGATTATACTTGATTGGATAATAACCTTCCATGATTCGTCCATCACTAATTTCATTCTTTCGCGAACCAACCCACGTTGAGATCTTTAAAGGGGAAATAAAAGAATGGGCTGTCTTATTCAGAGTTTGAGAGATGGAAAATCGTAGAAAAATTCAATTTAGCTTAAGTTCCTTGCACGCCTTTCGAAAGATATGCGGGTTCTTATTAAGTTCTCATTGAGGGAAGAAGCAGCGCAAAATGTGAGACAACTGAAGGTGGACTGCGGTGACAACGTGTTGGCCACCACGCGTGCAGCAACGGTGAACTCTGTAGGGCGCTGAGCAACACCTGCAGCAACGTTGCGGGCTTTCTGTGACGCAAAAGATTAAAAGAGAGAAAAATAAACTATTAAGGCGAAAGCCTTATACCTAATTATATGCGGGATTGATCGGTGCCCCGCGTAGACCGCGCCAACATGATCAAAGCAAAAAAAAGCATCATCACGTGATAATTAACATCACCATATGATGTCGTCTTGACGGCACTGTGAATTTGTCAGGCCGTCAGTGTGACGCCATCGCATGACAACGTTGCTTGGTCACAGATTGGTTGACCCGTTGGCAAGGCAAAATGTTTACAGCGCCTCTAATCTTGCAGACATGGCAAGACCACGCCAGTCTCAGAAAGCTTTCAGAGTGGGGCACGGGTGGCTCAATACCTCGACCTAAAAAAAAAAAAAATTAAGGCAGCTTGGCTAAGGGTACCAAGCTTGAAAGAAGTGCATAGCTGGGCAGCCTTACTTTTTTTTTAATTTCTCTACGGTTTCTTTTTCTTTCCTTCTCTGCCTCTTTCATTTTCTTCCTTTCAATTTGTTTTGTATTTCTGTATTTATTCTGTTTTTTTCTTCCTATCCGCCTATCTATTAAGTTTCTCTTTCTTGTTCTTACTATTTATATTCATATTTCTTTATCTCTTTCCAGCTCGCTTCCTCTTTCTTCTTGCCTAATTTTATGCGCAGTCTGGCTTGCCAAGCGCACTAGTTTTTATTTGCGTTAAGATGAGCGATGATCCTCAAGACGCTCGAATAACAAGAGAAAAAATACTTCTTAGTGTGTGTGTGCGCTCAATTTGCAATACATGGTGCATTTCACTAGGCGATGACGGCAGCACACAAACGCTTGCAAGAGCACACGACAGTTTGATTCCCTGTATATAATGCTTCCCGCTTAAAAAGGCGTTTGCCTTGGAGTCGACTGAAGCGTCTGCGTTAGCCCCGTGTAAGTTTTTTAGGGGCGAAGCTTCTTATACACCTTTTCACAAAAAAGGAAACAAACACCGTCATGATGGGCTGTGCGCGGGAGTACAAAGGCTAAGGACGCAGCGTTGTCAGTGCATTTTCGAGGGGACGCGCCAATTTGCACAGCCCAAGGAGGGATATGTGGCGGCGCCCAGGGAGGCGTTTATGAAAAGCTGAATGGCGGCACCCGTTCGTCCCTCGTAGCCGTTGTAGTAGTGTGTAACAAGTATAAAATTTTGATCTCCAAGGTGGTGCCGGTGAGACATTTCTTCTGTGCGTTGTTGAACAATAAAAGGTAATGCTCAATGTACATGCCAATGGCTACTAAGGAGGAATGAGAGACAGGAGAATCCGGCTTTCAGTTAACACGCACGCTGCGAAGTTTTTTATTGTTCAACAACGCACAGAAGACAAGAAAGGGTTCCTACGTTATACTCGCCGGGCGTAACCTCCTAGGTTTTAGAAAGGTTTAGCGAGCGTTGAGCCGCAGTGCCATGAATACAGTGAACCAGTATATACCATGAACTCGAGGTGGTTAAACGTGGAAAGTAGACACGAAGCGCAAGCCGTAAGAAAATGTGCGTGTGCCTCTTCTCCTTCAGTCCTTGGAATGTCCGCTGGATGGCGGTGCTTCTATATGACGAATATATGATGAAAAGATGCGAGATGGTGGTACTTGGAGTGTTGAATAGGTGGACAAACGGACACACAGACATATGCATGGACGGACAGACGGATGGCTGCATGGACGCATGGACGGACGCAAGAGCGGACGCATAGACGAAAGCAGGGACGGACGCACAGATGAACGTGCAGACGCACGAACAGACGCACGCATGGACGGGCGGATGGACGTACGGGCGGCTACACAGACGCACGCATGGATGGACGGAAGCAAGAACGAATGGACGGACGGATGCTTCGCCCCACTATCCATCATTCACTCCGTGTGGATACGCTGTCATTTTTTCAAGTATAGCATTCACGATGATTGTGGTTGTCTATTCACTTAGGGTTGTTGTGGACTAAGCGTTTATTAATCTACTTATCTGCATCACGCTCAAATTAACGGCGTCTTCATGACACTGCGGCTGTGTTAATAAAACGTCTGAGATCGCCCGCGATTGAAATTCTCCAAAAAACCACAAGCATTCTGAAAAATGTGCCATGCTCCTGAAAGTGTTTGCTTTCAGAAGAAATCTCCAGAAAGGTGCCGTGCTCGACATGATTCAGCATGCGTCCATGGAATGTAATGGAGTTCACGAGACTCCGTTATGGGAGGTCCAGAGTAGTCTCAAAACTTGCTCACTGTGAACAAGGCTCTCGGCAGGGGAGCGAAAATGTCTTTTATCGCGTTCTTTTTTAAAATCGCTGTCCTTCTCTTGATTCCATGTTAGATCTCGACCAGACGAGCTTCCGTCAGAATTTCGGCTTCCTTTTGAAACGCCTTTAGTTCTGTTTGTTTGATGGACGTATGATCTGCGCTGATGTTCGTTCTTTCTCTCCTCCACTCTATCACGGGTTGGTTCATACGGCTGGGAGACAGCTAAACGTTTTCTGTGTGTGTAGTCTGTAATTCAGCCAACGAGAACCTTTAGCGCATGGTGCATGAAATATCTGAGCTTGT